CAACAGCCTTCTCCTGGACGGCCTCGGGGTTGGCGCTGGCCTCGGGGTCAGCGTGGGCCTTGTCCTGGGCCTCCTTGACAACCTCGGGAACCTCAGCCTTGGTCTCTACGGGGACCTTAGCAGCAAGAGCAGCAGTCGTGGATGTCGGGGCGGCGCTGTTGATTGTAACGTCAGCGGCGGATGCGACAGGCAAGCTAGACTCGGGGATGGTGGCGCTGGTGACGGCGGGGACGGTGGTCTCCTCCTTGGACAGGCCAGGCAGAGCGCTCGAGTCCTCGTAGCCCTCCTTGTCGAGCTTGACGTGCTCGTTGATGTCGCCAGCCTTGACGGAGGCGGGGAGAGGCTCGCCAGCCTCAACCTTGATGGGCTCGGCAGTAACGTCCTGCGCGGGGAGGGGGTTAACGCCGAAGGAGACCTTGTCGAGCTCATTGGCGGGGGTGACGGGGAAGCCGCCGGGAATGTCAGAGGGGGTCTCCTGGGGAAGGTCGTCCTTCTCAAGAGGGACGTCCTTGGCCAGGGCGGCGGTGGTGGACTCGGGGGTGACGGTGTTCATGACAGCGGCGGTAGAGTCTTCCTTGACGATCTGGTCGGGGGTGAGGAAGTTGTTTACGTTGCCCTCGTGGTCCGGTTCTTGGGGGGCAGTGTGATCTGTGATCCAGTTGTTGTCGACGACAAACTGTGAGGAGGGGAAAGAAAGCGGGTTAGTTAAATTGCACGAGGCAGCTTAGATGACGATGTTTTTAAGCGAGAATCAGTGTGGGCAGGGCGATTGTCGGTGCAATGGATCCTGGAAAGATATGACGACGCGCGGACGACAAAATGGGTCAGCTGGCCGCGCGAATCTGGGAGATGCCGATGTTATAAAGGCGACGGGACCAGAAAGGAAGGTATGGCCTGGCCTGGCGTGGTGGAAGGTGGGAAGGCGCCTAGGGACCTAAGGTAAATTGGAATTGGGAGGCGGCGGTTCCTGACGCGCTGGGTGTTCCTTGGCTCAGGATGGGATGGCAGCTTGTTCCTGGTGCTGCGGTGCTACCTTAGCCCGACGAGGAAAGGCAGACGACGGGAGGCACACACACAACAAAACAAAACAACCCACCTCACACACACCTCATCGCACAACAAGACAAGGAAAGGCCGGTGGTGCTAGACATGGTCATCTAGCCCGGTACCTTTGTACCCGAGATGATGGCGGGCAGTGTGGCATGTGTGTTGGTAAGGCGTGGTGGTCAAGGTACGGCAACGTGTGCGCGCGCGCTTGATTGCTTGCTGGCTGGCATGGCATGGCATGGCAGGTGTAGCCCGGCAAAGGGGGGGGGGGGAGAAAAAAACAAAAAAAAAAAACAAAAAAAAAAAAGAAGTCGTCGCTGGTGGTGACAGCAAATGGACCAGTGACGATGGCCGGTGGCTGCTGCTGGTTCCTGCCGCTCCGCTGATGCTAAGCCAAACGCTGCGAACCCGTCCAGGCTGGCTGCATGGGACCCATGTCGCTGGCCACTGCTTTCGCTCCCCACCATTCAAAAAGAGCAATGAACCTGGAAAACCTTGTTCATTTCTTTTTGGAGCAGCGAGAAAGCGGAGCTCTGGACCGCTCTGCTCGGGTTCCGCCCATCACCTGCGCCAGCCAGCCCAGCCAACCGCCAATTGCCCAAGGCAACTGCGTCGATGAGCTGCGCGACTGAAGGATCATTGCGTCATACCGCGACCAGCCCGGGACAGTCGGCCAGCACGACGCCAGCCCCGAGACCCGCGTGAGCGACTTGCATTGCGCCGTGCTTGTGTGACTTGATTTTGCTTTCGAATCTACCCATTGCAGCTCGGTGCAGGCCCGGACCGGGGTAATCGTAGACGGACTGCCTCTGCTGCTGAGGTTGCGCAGGGTGGAGAGCAGACCAAAAAGAAAATGGCCGATGGGCTGGCACAAGGTCCAACGGGAACGGCAGACTCGCGCGATAGGGCGGCATGTCCACAATGTCTGATAACAAAGCGAGAAACAAGCGGCTTCGGGAGAGACAGAGCCAGCGCCAGCAAAGAAGCGCCCTCGGTGTTGTGGTTAGCTGCCCCGGTGCTGAGTGCAGCGTAAAGCAAATTGCGGGAGCGCCAGGGGCCTAGACGAGCCAAATTGCGAGATTGATGATAACCCCCTCTGTCTGACATGACATGCCGCATCCGAGACGGGCCTGCAAAGCCTGAGCCGACTGGGAGCAGAAGCTGGAGCTTTGGGAGCTCCCACCAGCTTGCGGCCTGGCAGCCCAGCCCAGCCCAGCCCAGCCCAGCCCAGCGAGACAGCATCTCCCCTCCAATTCAGCAGGGCGGTCCAGTCGGAGGACTCAGCGGACTGGTTGAGCCAAGGACCTTGGAGACGTGGATGTGGCGCACGGATGCTGTCGCGGGCTGGGTGAGGCGTTCGCTGCTTTCGATCGATGCTCGTGTCGCAGCTCACTCAATCTCGCTTTCACTGGCTCTGCCCCTCCGTACCGTCCGCCTTCCCAGGAAAAGTCGAATTGCGCCGATAAGGTGGCCCGGAAGTGCGGCCACATTGCTCCGGGTCCGGACGACATGAATCAATGGTGATGTGAAAATAGAAATCGCCCAAATTGGCGGTTACGAACCTTGTAGTAAATCTTCTCCGAAGCCTCGGGGAGAGTAACAGTCTTCTCAAAGGCGTCGCCGACCTTGTCCAGCTTCTCGCTCTTGGTCCAGTTGTCGAAGGTGCCGGTGACGTAGACCTCCTCGGCCGGGTGAGCCCTATGAGAGACGGGAGTATTAGCAATGTCTCCGTTTAGCTAAGTGCTATATTTTCTTTTTTTCGTCTTCTTGTGTAGAAAGAGTGCGACTCGAGGCCTCAAAGTGGATTCGCCATGTCCGTAAGCGGCACCAACTTGTGTGCAAGAAGGTTCGCATTCCGCATGGCAGACGACGGAAATATGCAAGCGCAGCCAGCAATCGCTGAAGCTACGGATGCGCAGCTCAGGTACAGAGGTAGACGCCCATCGTCGCCGCATTCCAGTCCGGTGAAGAAGAGCGATGGCGGGGAGAGGGGGGATGCGAGTGTGGGTTTCGCGGGCAAGCGTACCAGATGAACTTGAAGGTGCCCATTCTGATCGGTGTGGGGGTTTCTTATTTTTCGAGACGGGGTGATTAGTATTATTCCGGTCGGCGCAAGAGTATCGTCGTCGTCGGATACGGTGGAAAGAAGAACAGAATTTCGAATCGCGTCGTGTGAAGTAGGGGAGGGAAAAGGTGGAAAGAAAAGTTGAGAGTCGAGCGGCGGGCACCCCCAATTTTGCGCGCGTGGCAGCGACAGAAATATTGCTGGGGTCGGGGGTGGAACTGAGCTGGTCGCATTCGCAGTGAGCCCCAGGGTGCTGCTAGGTTAGGTAGGTACCTAGGTAGGCAGGTACCTCTACTGACTGGACGGGAGCGTGCAGGGTATCCGTGGGAAGGAGGCACTCGTGAAAAAAGTTACAGAGCTAGAGCTACAGATTGATGGCGGCGCCAGCGGTTGGCCTGTGCCTATCGTGCGCTGTGGCTAACCAAGGCAGCCAACCCAACCTAGGTATCCGGCCTATGGAAGATGATGGTGGGAGACGTGGGCGGTCTGGAAGTCTGCGGTCTGCGATATGCGACCTCCTTTGGCTGGACTGGACTGGACTCTGGACTCTGGACTCTGGACTCTGAATGTGACTCCACTCCACATGCACCGGCTCTGCAGTGTGTGTCCAGTGTGCAGTGTGCAGTGCGCGGTGAGTGTCTTGAAATGACGACAGCTTTAGCAAGCTTGTGCAGCTGGCTTGGGCGTCTACACTACGGGTGACTTTGGGTACTGTGGCCAGTCTCGGCTCACCTCGAGTCGGCCAATTGCAGCAGAGATCCCGATCTTCAACGGTTTTGTCTGGGCTGCTCGGCATCCACAGCACATGTCTCTGACTCTCTGACACGGGGTCTCAGAGTCTGTCTCTTTCTCTCTCTCTCTCTTTCTCTCTCTCTCTCTCTTTCTCTCTCTCTCTCTTAGTGAGGATGGAGTATCGCTGCTGCTGAAGTTGAATCCTACATCTCCCCCTGATTTCCAAGCCAAAACAACCCCTTACTGACCGACTTCCTTTCTTCGAGCGGTGGCGGACTGGAGGAAACGGGTGCAATGACACGCCAAAAATACATTCGGCACCTTCGCACCCAAGGCATGACTAGGCGCAGGAAAAGCTCGAGAAGGTGAGGCGCCGCCGTCACAGCGTCGCAGTGTTACAGAAGGGGACAAGCGCGGCAGCAGCACCTTCCTTGAGTCTTAGCTTCCATTTCCATACTACTTCTGCCTAAGGTACGAATAAGGTGATGTCTTGGGACGACGACGACGACGACGACGACGACTGAAGACTCAACGGAAGGAACGAACTTTGTTAACATGCCCTGGGCATGGCATGGCATGGGAGGAGCAATGGAGGCAAGGGCTACGGAAGGTGGACAGGGCAGCCACCGGCCTGCCCACCTGCCTTACGCACTGCACGTAACTGCCCGGCTGCTCATGCAATCCACCTCGCCTACAATGTTCGTCACCTCAGGTACACGGAATTGACGAGCGGGACAGTGGACTCAACCCTCGCGCCTTCTTCGCATGAACACTCGCATTAACAAGCACAAGCAGAACATCTTCCTGCCCTTCGAACCAAATGGGCAAATGGCATGGCCAACTCACGCCGCATCATGTACTGTACTGTACACGCATCGCCGCCCATACATCGCACCTAAGCAGCGTCACATCCGCCAAACTCGCTCGTGTCGTCTCCCCCACTCCGCCGCAGAAAGCCAACACCAACGACTCCCATCGCGAGCAAACTATCTGATTTCCAGCCTCCGTTATCCCTGTTCTCTTCACCTTACATCTTCACCGATTCTTCCTGCTCTTTGCTTTGCCCGGCTCTGCCCTGCCTTTGCTTTGCTTCGCCTTGCCGTGCCGTGCCTTACCTTGCCTCGCCTCACCTTAACTTACCGCAGCACCTAAGCTAATGCTAGCCCAGACCAGACCGAAAATACCTTACCACGCTCGTCTGTTGTCTGGTGTGTGCCTCAGAGGTGGGATGAAGCTAGGCTTGCAGCTAATTTCGATTCCCAGCGCGCCACCGCACCAAGAGACACACCTTTTTTCACTGTTCCTGTGGATCCGCACCTCGAATTGTTGCCCAAACCGCCTTTCTCTGCCCGTCACCACGCCGCCCAGGGGTGGATGAGTCTTTGTCTTGTCTAGAAAGCCCTCTTTGCACCGGTTTGCGCGCCGCCGCGCCCACCGCTGGTTTGATTCAGCATCAATCCCTCACCACCCGACGCAACACTCGCAAACCGCCATCGGACTCTCAGGGCCGAGATCCTTGGCCCGCAGCTCAAACCCGGCCGGGCCCCTTGCCATACGGATTGGTTCCTGGCCCTTATCTTCAGGTCAACATTCTGTAACAATTTTGCTCCGGGATGGCACCTTTTCGTTGGGCACTTCTGTCGGCTCCAATTGCACCAATCCTACGGCAATGATCTGATTCTCGAGCTTTCTTCCCGCCCTCGCCGAACCCATCCTGCCACCCAGCCACCCCCAGAGCCATCTGCTCCTGCCATCTCGAGTCGGAGACGCTTCGCTGATATCACATCCCGCGCGCCCCTGGAACCAGAGCCAGCCACCACACGCCAACGCCAACCCCAATCTACTGCTGCCGTCAGCCGCTGCAGCTACCTGGCTGACAAGACGGTCCGAACACACAACTCTGGCGACTGCTGACGCAGCAGAAACGGCCAACTTCGAGCTGAGCGTCAGACTTTCTGCCTCAGGGATACTTTACTCTGATGAACTCTGCCGTTGTTCAATTCCCGCAAAGAGGCCGGCTTCACCATTTGAAATCATCCCAGCTTGCCACGCCTTCACTCTCACCCATCAGCCGTGGCGGCTTGCGTTCCACGCCAGAAAGCTCTGCCCGCCTTCTGCCCGCCGTTCCACCATTTTCAAATCACGCGCAACCTATATCTGGCGCAGTTATTTCCCGTAGCTCAACGGATCACCAACGGATCTCAGTCTTGGATCTTGCCGCACTAAGAAATTTGCGGGGAAGGGGTGGAAGCCTCGAACTGTATCCGGGACTGCCCCCGACTGAGACAATCTCTGGTTCTCATCATCCGTCCAACCAACCCCAGCCACCTCCGGAGCCTCATGCGCGCGCGCAACAATGATCACCCTATCTCCACTGAATAATTTTCTTCTCTCGGTGGGAGATGCCCCATAACTGATGTAAGAGCCCAGGTGGGCGAACAGACGAGCATCATTTTCGAATCAACGGCAAAATGGCCCGCTGAATCTCATCAATTGATGACGATCGACTAATCCGGCATATCCTTGTTGCTAATTACCATGTTAACTCGGATGTTCAACCGATGTCGCAATACCACCAAGTCTCAAACAGCCGGGCTTCTCAACGAGCACGTGCCTGCGGCGACGACGAAGGTTCCTCCAGGTGACTCCGCAACGTTTCCATCACCGGCGACGAAGCCTACGGACGCGCCGAGATCAGTCTTCGAGAGTACCGTTTGAGCGTTCAAAGCCTCGGAAGCGACCCTCAAAGTTTCATCCACGTGTGACTTCGTTTCCTTTACCACTGTATCACTTTCAGGGGTTGGGCGCGAACAGACCCTCGATTCCCCGGAGTTTGCGGTAGGGTCGACGTCACGGCTCTAGCACGTGTCAAACATCAGATGCAACCTCGCCGTTCCGTTTCACCTCTCTCGAGCATTTATCCGGTGCGAGATTGCGCACCGTCAGCCGCCGCAGCCATATTTTCCGAGTGGATGGTGATCTCTATCGCGGGCGCAGAATAGTCAAGTTCGTAGCTTCATCCGGATCAATTTCCGGGCGGGATCGTTCGGGCGGCAAGCCATATTAATGATCCGCAGGGCCGTTGAGATGTCTCTGCAATGAAGACTGAGCGCGATGACTGTCGCCAAAGTTTTGCCTCCTTGATTCTTGAACATGTTTTGCCATCCTACACGGTTTCCAATCACATAGACTGCCCTAGACATTCAGGATGATCGCATGGGCTTGGTCTCCGCCAGGTAAATCTGGCCAAGCCATGCAAAATGGTAGAGTACGTGGAATGGGTCTCTCGTGATAAGTAGTATCGGAGATCTGAACGAATGAGCCAGTGCTGCCAAGAGTTTCAGGGACGCTTCGAGAAGTGAAGACCGAAACTGAGGTTGGACTCACGTGGAAGCTCAACCACATTAGATCATGGTAACTGAGAGCGCAAAGACGCGCCGGTGTGAAGTGGGGTGCACGCCAACCAGGTCCCTTTAGTCCACCTACTCGCTCACGTATAAAACATCATAGTTTTACTAGATCTCAGCCTCCGCCAAGAGAAATAATGGCGTTCATCGTCTCTAAGCGCGAATTCAATGGGGAAATATTGCTCAGATCTCACCGTTGAGGCATTCGGATGGAATGGAAACCACACGAGCAGGGGTGGTGTGTGTCTGGTGACCGGCTCTGTTGTCTTTGGTGTATTCGGGGGGTTTGATACGTTCCAAATGGCTCACTCGGCGGTAGCGATTGTGTGATGTGATATGGTTGACTTTCTGACCTGATCACGTGGTCGGTCAGCAGGGAGTTCTTGACTTGCTTTATTGCGGCCAGATGCGATAGATAGGAACACAAGTGCGGATTCGTTCGCCATCACATTTGGTTCCTAGACTGTTGGACAGGACCGCAGGGCTCACTTACATAGGCCACTCGAGGGCCGCTCGATGCCCGTTCGCTTTGGTAGGCCGAGGGTGCGTATAAGAGGGTCAAATGCGCAGGTCCATACCTGAGCAAGGACACATTGCATACGCTGAACTCAGCCATTGCATGAGGAATGACAAGCAGGCTTCACTGGGCCCGCGCTGGGATCGCCAGGTTGATATGATATTAAACATGTGCGGGTGCAGCGCGTCGACTTGTGGTTGGGTTGTATGCGAAGGAATATGTGCGAGGTAGAGGTGTTGGATAGCAGAAGACATGAGGATTCTGATGTTGAGCGGGAATCGGGTTGGTGATGGATTAGTGTGGGAGATGACGGGTTCAGGGACCGAAGGAATATGAGTCCTATGTCGAGAGGTCTGAATACCTCATGGTCATTACACCGTATAATTGTGGTGTGTTGTTGAAAGATACGCAGTGACAGCTGACGAGGGGTTGAATATATACTTCATGGAAGAGAAGGGTTATCGTTTTCGAGGTAGAATGGTATATATGCAATCTACAGGTGTGTTGAGATGGGAAGTGGGCAGCCGAACAATTGGGTTTGCGTCCCCCGCGATTATTGGGACGTTCACGGGATGGTTTTTAAAGCCTGCTGGGAATTGATGTCGTGTCCTCGTGAGCTGGATTCGCTGGCTGGGAGTCGTAGGGTGGCTATCGTTTTTTCGATATACGGGGAGGAATTCCTCGGACAAAGAGACCGAAGGCGGCGATGTTGAAGATGTGGTGGAGACATCTAATGAGGTTAATACCGAGTGGCTTCGGGCATCCGAAGCAATTTTCTTCAACCTTGTGACAGTCAAGACAATCCGGAACAATTGCTCTGGCAAAGAGGACGGTGCGATCCGTCAGAGTCTCTATTTATGCTTCCCACTGATGGGGGTGCAGACTCTGGAGACCTGTGATCAGATATCGAGCTAACGGTCAATGAAAGGATGGCTGGTGATACGGAGAATTGGGGTATAAAAGCAAGGTGGCTTTCGAGTATCCATCTTTATCATGGCAGATGGATCATGATCGTGAAAACTCGTTGATCGGAGGCAGATGACTTCGCAGTTGGCTTCGCGATGTCACATGTAGCTAAATACAGTATGGAAGTTGCTCGGTGAGATTTAGAGGAACACTTCCGGGTGACATTGTTACCGTCTTCATTCTTCTTCGATTCTGGTGTATTCAGGTGCTGTAATGTGGCTTCTGTTTGCGACATTTTGAGCTCTCCGTCTTGCGGTTTCCTGTTGGACATGATCTTGGTGATGTATTGTGCATTGTCGCAGTATACTGGACGACGTCGTGAAAATTTTCGATTGTTTCTTGTTTCGCTTCAGGCAATTATCCTGCCCATTGCGGGGTTTATATCGAGAAGGGATGATTCACTGTGGGTAAGCTTTCGAGCTTTAACGAGAGGACGGGAGGCATCCTGTCCTGTCTTATCTGTTGGAGCCAGATCTATGTGAGTTAGTGATTGCTTGTATCATTCATGGCAATTCGTAGCATCGTCTGGTTCCGGGCAAACTGGATCGCTGCTGGGTTCCATGTCGCTACAGGCAGCATCGCGCTTGATGAATCACGGCGGTAGTTTTAAAGCTCTGGGAGATAGCCATGCCGTGTTGATCCCTCATTGGTCTGGAAGTATTCTGATACGTCTCTGACATTTGTGTGAGATTATTTCTCTAGTTTGGGGCATTTTCGTTTATGCATATCTCAGGGAGAAGGGGCCGTTCGGATGCATGGTAAGCATCCAGAGCATGCCAACTGGAACACATTTTCCTTGCTGCGCTCGAGATAGTGATAGCCCCTTAAGGGTCTTATACATAAAAGTTGAGGTAATAGTAATTACTGGGAGGAGTCTCTTGCGAGGGATATGAAAGTCTGCTTACTAACTTACCCGGTAGCTCTGGCTTCTAAGGTATATAAGCTGGGTTTAGATCACAGACTTCGCACCACAAAGGAAGCAAGCCAGCACCAGGTGTAGTGTCACGACTGACTCTTTCCTCTGAAAAGAGCCCGTGATTTCAAGTCATGACGAGGAGTCTTCCGTAGCAGATTCTAGAAAACATGCGATCGGTCCGACTGGCACGACTCCCTGTTCTGGCCCTCGGGCTTCATCACCGTTTTGAGTATATTCGACACTGATACTGTTAGAGATACCTGGACTCTGCGGAAGAAGACTCGCTGAGAGTGAGAACTGCGTATGCTGGTGTAACGGTGCCTCTGTGAACATTTGCAGCGTGAAAAGAAAACAGTCGACAGGAAAATCACAGATTGCTTGCAGAGTGGAGGCTTCCAGCTAGGTTGAAGAGCCTTTATACTCATCAGATCCCAGTTGAGTAACTACGGACTGAGATAAGCCATTGAACTTTTGTCATTTATTAGCTTCGGCTGCAGACTCATTCGGCTTGTCCCCGCGTCACCAGAGGATGGCAATGGAAGATCTGCAGCAAGGCGTCCTTCTCTAGACTGGCGACAGAGATGTCGAAAGCCCCGAAGCCTGAAAAGATGATCGTTCCCAGTTTGATGGCTCTTCTTGAAACTTTTCTGTTGTCTTTCGAGTATTTGTTGACAAACCTCTACGGATGTTGACTGGCGATGATGATGGAACGGTTGATTTCAGGGCGTAGAGTGGCCGTCGCGCTGGCAATTTTCTAAGCGAAACAAGTATGCCTGAGTGAATAAACAGACT